CCGGCCTGAAGAAATAGGCCTGCTGGGAAAGGATTGTTCAACAAAGCACCCTGGGGTTGGAGGTAGATGCCGGAAAGTGGTGAATCCTCCTCCCTCCCTTTCTGTCTCTTAACCCAACTCCACCAGCTCACCTTTCCACTGAGTCTGACCATGTCTCTTTTTACCCCAGTATTATCTACCCTGACTGGCAAAAGCGTTTCTCCAGGGTTTCAGGCAGATTCGAGTTCAAGTCTCCACTCAGTTATGAAACTGGCACACATAGGAATCTGCCTTATCTTGAGCAGGACCCTTGGTCCATTTAGCCTAGTATTGTCCATTCCAAGTGGGAGAAGCAGTTTGCCAGGGGCTTCCTTCTTAGCCCTACCTGGAAATCCTTGGGAGTATTCCTGAGTGACCTCCCATTCAAGCCCAACACTGCTTAGCTTCTGAAATCAGACAAGATCAAGTGCATTGAAAAGGATAGGGTGGTATCCATACAAAAATCAAGAACACGGGAAATGGTCTTATTCTGTGGGACCCCTTCCTAGCCCTATCTGAAGATCACCATACTAGAATAATTGAATTACAGAGATGGAAGGGACTGTGTCGTAGTCTCTGGAGCAGAAGAAAAGAAGCTTTCTCCATCCTCAATATGACATCCCTTCAAATATTATACATGACTATCATGTCCCCTCTTAATCTTCTCTTCCCAAGGCTAAACATACCCTTTCCAGGTAGGTTTCCAGACCTTTCACTATTTTAGTCATTCTCCTCTGGACACGCTCCAGCTTGTCCACATCCTTTTTGAATTGTGGTGCCCAGAACTGGACACAGGATTCCAAGTGAGGTCTGACCAAAGCAGAATCGAGTGGCATTACTACTTCTCTCAGTCTAGACACTATATTGATGCGGCCTAGGATCATATTGGCTTTTTTAGCTGCTGCATCACACTTTTGACTCATGATTAGCTTGTGGTCTACTAAGACTGAAGTCACATGCTCTCTGCTTCAGGGGAAGGCAACGGCAAACCTCCTCTGAACAAATGTTACTATGCCATGATAGGTTTGCCTTAGGTTCGCCATAGCTCAGAAACTACTTGAAGGCACACAATGACAACAACTTCTAAAGGCCTTTGCAGACTGCCAGAAATAGTGCAAATTGAGGCCACTTTAACTGCCCTGACTCAGTGCTAGGGAATCATGGGAACTGTAGTTTATTGTGGCACCAGAGCTCTCTGACCGAGAAGGCTCGATGTCTCAGAAAAAAATACAATTCCCATGATTCCCTAGCACTGAGCCAGGACAGTTAAAGTGGACTCAATGTGCACTATTTCTAGCAGTCTGCAAAGGCAATTTAAAGTCTCCTAGATCCCTTTTGCATGTATTATTGTCAAGGCAGGTGTCACCCATCTTATACTATCCTTGGTTGTGTCCCATCCAAGGACTAACTTTGTTGTTGCTGTGTGCCATCATGTCCTTTCCGAGTTATGATCACCCTAATGCAAACCTTGGGGAGAAAGGTCCCAGGCTATACAGAAATCTAGTATTGATCATGACAACCAAACCCAGCTTAGCTTTCCAAATTGGGAGAGAGACTCAATGTGTTTGGGGTGGTATGGGGGATGCTCTTCTTGCTCTCTTGGGAGCAGCTGTGGGGCTTGAGGAGCTTGGCAAAAGGATGGGGAACGGACAGAAAGGAGGAGGGATGTGGCTTAGAAGAAAAATCTCACCAATTGTGCTTCCTTTCCTCAATTCAGCCAAATGACAGCTCCAGCCTGACCTCCCCAGGCTCTCTGATCGCTCAGTTTTAGGACTGGAGGTGTTGTTGTTGTGTCTGTGTGTGGAACATAAAGCTCACACCCGTCTCCCTCGGCCACTGAAGGAAGTCAGCCATCGATTAGAGGCTGAGAGAGTGCCATAAAGCGGCATGCTCAGCCCATGGGGAATTCTTCAAAAGTCAGAGGCACAGAGAGCCGGGTTGGGGACCAGAGAATGTGTCTGAGTCCCATTTTTGGAGAAAAGGTGGGGTATAAACAAAGGTGACTCTAACTATTATTGCTTTCACAGTCCACCGGCGGATACTGATGTGAGATTTGACCATCAATTATTTGAGGATGGAGCCGGCTTATTTTCTGCTGCTCCAGAGACTAGGACAAGGAGCAATGGATGCAAATTACAGGAAAAGAGATTCCACCTCAACATTAGGAGGCACTTCTTGAGCATTTGGACATATGTTGGACAGTGGAAGCATGCTTTCGGAGGGTGGCGGCGTCTCCTTCTTTGGAGATTTTTAAACAGAGGCTGGATGGGCATCTGTCGGGGTGTGTGGGTGGGTGCTTTGACTGTGAGTTCCTGCATGGCAGGGGGGTTGAACTGGATGGCCTTTGGGGGGTCTCTTCCATCTCTATGCTTCTGTGACTTCTGTTCAAAAATTCTGTGAGGTCTTGTGGGATAATCTGCCACGTTCCAAGCAATATCGCTTTCTGTAATCACGCTACGCTGGTCCTACCGATGGTGATTCCATTCAGATGTTTTTCTCAGTTTGCTGGAATTGCTCCATCATCATCACCATCGCCATCATCATCCCCATCATCACTCTTCGCATTTGCCCTGGGCAGCCACATGTTTCAGCAGCCACAAAGAGGCAGGTCTTTGCCTGGCCTTTACCTTGCAAGAAATTAAATTGACTTTCTTCTGTTCCTCCAAGCCTGGCTCACCTAGCAAGAAAGCCATAACACTGTGGACTCCCGCTAGGCTTTTCCTAGTTCCCTCTGCATGGGCAAAGGCAGCAAGAAATCTAATTAATGCCCACCGAACCATGCGCGGACACCCTTCAAGAGGCCGCGATTGCCCTCTGACCTTTCATTTCATTGCACAGCTTGGGGTGTGCGCATACACACAGAGCCCACCCTGGGCCTTGAATAGAGACCCTATTCTAATCCTTGTTGCCTTGTGCTCTTCCCTCTCTCCCCTTCCTCACATTGCAGTGCCTTCGATAAATCATATTTAGCAGAGCGCTTTAAAACATCGCCCCACAGAGCAAGAAAGGGCCCTGCTTGGCGTGACTTTGGATTGCCGATGAAATAAAATAATAATAATAATGACTGCAATATTCCAAAGTC